CTCTATATATTCTATATATAGAACTACATCACTTCATTACTAATTTTGTTCCAAGAGAAAAAATAGAACTACAAATGAAATTGCATGGATGCTTAACTGAGTTGTTATTAAACCACATAGTATAATCGTCTTAACTGGAAACATATATAATAGTTCATTTCGAAGAGTTCACACAATAACTTCTTTATATTATTGTAGCGGGAGGTGACAATAATTATATTTTTTTCAAAGGTTGAAATCACGATATAAGAGTTTTTCGAAAGAAGGCCTAGTAAGTGGTTACCACTATTACATCTAAACGATTGGTCGACAATAGAGGGTTTTGAATATTAATCTTGCATTACAATAAGAAAATAAAAAAGACAAACTTTCTGTTGATTTCATACACTCCATTATTTAGCTGTGTCCATCGTTATGGGGATAAATACTAAGGTGGTCAGACTGCTTTTGTTTAAATTTATTTCTTACACTATAAGGCAAAGGATTACTCTTTTTTAAATTTATTAATTATATTTAGCTAAATTAATTAACAAACTTAATAGTAATATATGGTATATACATACCAGTTTTAAAATCTGCTATATAGTAACACTTTACATAGTTAACTATGTTACACATTATTCGTTTAACCACAGTTAGTTAGCAAGTTAAGAGTAAAAACCCATGCAAAATAAATATGTGGGTTGAAACTAACATTTTGTTTTTTCCTCAACCCTCTAATATTATTTACAAATAAGTACACATGTTGAAAGATAGTATAACCTTTTAATTTTTTTAAAACATTTGTACATATTTTGTAGTAAATATTGAAAAGTTAAGTACAAAATAAATTTATGCCAAATGAATCTCCCTCAAGCTGATAACTAATCATGGTTAAAAGATAGATGTTTTAAATTATATTTAACCTGAATTTCACCAAACTTATATACATGGTATAACCACGTTATTTGTTTTAAAAAATGAAATTACAGATTAGTGCAATTATTCTATTGGATGATAAGATTATCTAAAGACAAATAATGCTATTCATGAATTTTATGTGTTAAAATTTAGTTTAAGTATATAATTTAAGTTACGTCATGTAAGACATGACTTAACCTAAACTAGAAGGCTTTGATTTCAATTGTTGGGCTAATGAAGGAAGAAGCATTGTTGAACGTTAAACACTGCGAGACTTAGATTGAGGATTCAGCCATTGATGAAATATGAATTGAATTGATGATATGAAAATTGATAAAGATAATTGGCTTTTAACTGCTTAGGTAATTCTAGATTATTACAAAAGTCTTTGTAACTTGAAGTGTCAATTTTAATCCTAATTCTACTAAAACCAAAGACAGGTTTCACCACCAAATTCAACTTCTGAGAGAAAGATCGCCGAAGAATTAATAATGATGATACATATGAAAAAATGTATGATAGTAAGCTAAAAAATTGAATGCCAGCAACAGATGTACATTGAAGGGAAATTGTTCCCTAGAGTAGACAAATTCAAATAAATCAGATCCAACGTAACCTCAATGAATGACCAGCACAAACAGAGCTTTCTCCTCTCTTTTTGTAGATATGGAAAATCAGAAAAATCTCTAGAAAATTTTAAACAAGGGACAATAAGCAGCAGTAAAGAAATAAATATTAAAATATTTGAGAAGAAAGGTTATTAAAAAACTGCTTACAGAAATTGGTCAATCAATATATCAAGACATGAAGGCAAGGAGATTAAGGGGCATGTAGCTTGGAGCAATCAATCAGAAAGCTTCTACACAACAATGTAAGTCGTAACAATAGAAAAGAGAACAAAAGAAAAAGAAATGGAAGAATTTTATTGTGTTGATTTTATATTAAAATTTAAATAAAAGTCATATTATGCACAAAGACTTAGGTAACATCCTAGTGTTAGCAAAACAGATGAGAGCTAGTTTATAATCACTTCATATATTATAATAGCAGAAAAGATAAATTATCAGCTAAAACAAAACCAGGATGCTGAAAGAAAGAATTATCATTATCTAGTATAAGCACAACTACAGTCTTATTAGCTAAAGATTATGCAGGATAAAAAGAGGCTAGGGACAAAAAAATAAATTAAAAAAAAAAGCAATGGAAATAAAATATAACAGTGAAAATAAAACCAAGATTTCTAAAGCTACCAACACGGTTAAAAACACCTACAAAGTACTAAGCCTATATTGCAGTGATAAGACCTATATAGTTCTAATGTACTGTAGCATAATTAAGCCATTGGAATAAATAAAAAAATACAGAAAGATTAGGAAATAATTTTTTTTTAAAAATAATGAATCAGCTGATTAGACTCCCTTGTGACATCAATAAAGATATTTTAAATAACATTCCGTTTTGTTGGGTGTTGGCTATTTACACTCATAAATTTAAATTTTTATAAAACAAAGCCCCAGAATATAAACATTTTGAGGGTGTTTACTGTTGTTGGGAATTCGGGAACCTAATGCTTTTGTGACAGAGTGGCAAGAAATAATAAGAATATGTATGAAATATGTGACTGCACTTTAATTGACTCACCTGGTTTGTTGTTATTTTATTGCAAGGCAAAAAGGACAACAAGATAAAATGAATATCCACTCTTGTATAACAATATTTCAACTTTAATAAATAAATTTATTTATCAGTTTTATAATTGTAGGATTGATCTCCTTAATCTTCAATGGGCACTTACTTAATCTTCAAGTCCTAGCATAAAGTGAAGTCTACTGTCTAACCAGAGTCTAGCAACACCTGTAGAGGGCTACAAGTGCTGCTACCTGTTGGACCCTTTTCCCGGTTTCTTCCTTTCTTTGTTCTGTTTATCTAATCTTTTTCATCAATCGAGTCCAATTCATAGTGCAACCCTACATTCCTTATTATTTCCTCACCCGATGTCACATAAAGGAGTAAATACTAAAGGCCATCTACTACACATGTAAAAGGATAATCCATTTTTAATTTGTAACCATATTAACTACTAGATGTATGTAAAATAAAATGGTTCATGTTGTATCGTGAAGGTTTCTAAAACTTCAATATTGAAACTTAAATCAGACTAGTAGAAAGAAAATTAAAAATATTTTCACCCATGTTTCGTTAGACTTTTGAAGGTATATTATATCATAATGCAATTTTCTCACCTTCGCTATGGTCTGTCCTTCTGACGTTCACCAATGGGCACAGCAAATATTAAACTTTTAGAAATTCTATCGTTACCATCCCAACAATTTTACACGCACATTTCGTGTTGAGTAACCTTCACAATTATCCGGTCAACTCATTCTTACTCGGTCTGAATATTCTATGCAATATTTTATTTTCAAAAATCTAGAGACGTGGTTCATCCCTTAATAAAAGCGGCCACGTTTCGCATCCATAAGGAACTGTAGGTAAAATAATGTTTCTGTAAATTCTAGTTTTAAAGTTTCAGAAAAGGAGGCACGAACTAAATAATTTTGTCACAGAAAACTAACAAGCATGTCTCGTCCAACCTAACATTGGTCTCCTCTTCAGTTTCGATTTGTCTACTCATACATCCTAGATACTTAAAACTTCTCTACATCTATTCCATATAGAGGAATCATCAAATCAAGAGTCATTTATAATGTATGACAAATAAAGCCTTAAAGGTCTGACATATATGTCAGACCTTTGGTCGTATGAGTTGGAAGACCTCTCCTGCACAGTGTGTAGCAGTAGATGCTCAGAAGCTGTTAAGAATAAGAAATTGAAAGACAGTAGAACAAAACAGTAAAGATTGGTGGCTCTGACTGAAGTAGACCTCTTCATGGGTCGTAGAGCTATTAAAGAATAAGAAAGAGGTCAGGCGCAGACTTATGGAAAGCCAGATCTCGTCTCAATTCTTGGGGAGATAGTAGTTCTCTTTCGATACTCTAAGATGCAGTTGGTTTCAAGATCACCGCTAACATACTACTCTCAAATATCCGACGAGTGCAGTAAGAAGCTGAGTAAAGACAATTCCTAAAAAAACCTGTCTTAACTTAAATTTGTTGTTCAGGTTAGGTTAGATCATATTCCCATCTTTTAAGTACTTCTTTTGGACATATTCGGGTATCTGGTAAACTCTGGCTGATCTTGAAATTGTCACATGATTTAAACAGATCAAATTAACAATGGACAACAAAGGTCATACCAAGCAAGAGAGAACAAAGCTTTACGTTAACAACCAAAACCATACATGTGAGATCAATTAAATAATAAAATGATAACTTTATAATTTATAGATGTTAAATGAATACGAGAGGATATGATTTAAGGAGAAACTAACAAAGAAACAAAAAATAAGAAAATTCAGTCAGTGTTTTTTATTAATGTTGGATAGAAAACCTGACCTTAATTTATATAAATAGAATCCATAAAGATTTTAATAAAAAGCTTATTTATAACCATGTGCTCATCAATGTCCTAACTAGTAATATTAATGCAATTACTAAAACTTAACATTAAGTTGCATTTTGTACAAAACATTTAATTAATTAGAAATGATGGCATGCCTAAGTACTGTTTTTTTTTTAATTAATGCTACATTTAACACATGCAGTGCTTTCCTCATTATCTGAATGATATTTAACATAATTATTATCATTATCCTAAAACTAGTTCTTAAATTAATCAACATGAGGTATCAGTATTTTACCAGTCAGCTTATAAAGATGGAATTAACACAAGTAAACAACTTTATAAAGCGTAATTCAATCCAAAAACACAAGACTTAATTTTTATGTATCAACCATTAAATATTTCTAGATTGAAACAGTTATAATTCAAAACATGTAAAATAGATAGAATGAATATACCCTTCAAAAATTTGAGGAAGAAAAAATATTAAAACATTTAAGAAAATCTTCACACAACTTAAAACAAAAATATAGTTGAAGCATAATACTAAGTCTTAGAACTTTCTAGACCTAACCTACAAATAATTCTATTAAAGCATCTAAATTATGAGTTAAAACCATTTATATAAGCAGTATCACCTGATGTTCCTCTATACTACCTACCATTGGATACAACTCACTATTTTAATTTAACTAAAAGCAGAAATATTCCTCCTGGCTCACTAAGAATACACTAAAATATTAATATTAATTCAGCTGTTAATAATACACAGTTGTTATTAGTGTTTAAGGCTAAAAACTAACTATCAATTTTAATAAGTTTTCCTATTAAAAGAAACTGAACACATTTTCAAAACACCAACAAAAATACTTTTTAACCACATAACACTGTCAATTAATTGATTTTTTACGATCCACATTCAAAAAGATGAACACAACCCATCACAATAATATATATAAAACCGGTGTTGATCAAATTTCAAAGATGCTGTAAAACTTAAAAATATCAACAAATTTGGCATTAGGAATTAGCCTTCATCAAAGGTGGCCATGTTGGAAGAATGGTAGGCTGACATTCAACCTCATTGAAGGTATTTATTGCAGAATGCCAAAAATAAATTGAATCTAAGATAATGAATATCCTGACAAATTGTGATTTTACTGAAATACTTACCATTATTTCCTTTTTTTAGTCCTTCAAAATACTAACAATAACACACGCCACCTAACGTTATTCCAAGCTCGATTTGATGTCTGTAACATAACACTATTAATAATAATTGGATGAATCCGTACGATTCAAGATCGTTTTGTACAGGGGCTTTATGCACAATGAATGCACATAATCCTCACAAAATTATAAATCCAAGTGTCTCAGTTATAGAAAAAAGGTTGACAACGCCTAGACTGACGTGCCTAGCAAGATGCCTTCCCAACAAGCCAACGGAGAGCCAATCAAATCGATGCCAAGGCCTGACTGCAATAGAAAACCTGCGCAAGCACCTGCGCAGTAAAAAATTCCTTTTCCATGGATTACTATTTCGATAATTATATACACAACTATTTACTATGAAGTATTGTAAACAAAGAAAAATCATATATATATTTTTTTTAAACTTAACGACATCTACCACTAAAAATTTATGAATATATTGGTTAAAAAATGTGGCGATAACGAGTCCCCCTCCCCCTTTATGAAAATTCATCAGCTATCATTCAAAGATGCATATACATAAATAATATTAAACTTATTCCACGTGGAGTATTAATTAAAAATCAATTTTCGTTTTGTTAACCAACATATTAAATATGCTAATTTTATGTTAATACTATCTAGAAATGTCTAGTAGTAAAAATTCGATCCGATTACAATACTAATTAATTTCTTATTTATTTATACACGAAAAATACTCATAGTCGATTACAAAGAATAATTATTGAAAATAATAAACCAAAACATGCATTCAAGATGGATAAGTATGTATCTGGGCTAATTATGGTCCGATTTTTTAAAAAAAATTGTTGTGAATTTATTCTCCTTTTAAATGGTTATACAACCCACCGTGTTTAATTTTTGAGTTATATATAAATTATTTTTTTCTTCGCTATTTTTCTTGGTGCATTCAATATATAATGGTCCATAAAGCAAAGATTTCTTTATATGATAGAAGTATTTATTTCTTTAAAAAGAAAGAAGATGGTCCGTGGTGGTGGTCATAAATATGCTAAATAGTGGCATAACTATTTTATTAAAAGCCAACGTTTCGATTTGACTGTGTAGGCCTTCTTCAGGGAGATGTGTTCATCGAGGAGTTTCACTTAGAACTGACTCAGTAGCCTTTAGTTCAGTGAAACTCCTAGCTGAACACATCTCCTTGAAGAAGACCCGCAAAGTTGGGTCGAAACGTTGGCTTTTAATAAAATATTTGCCACTATCTAGCCTATTTATGACCAATACCCCGGACCATTTCCTTCCATTTATATGAATGGAATTTCGTTTTAAGAAAATTGAAGATACTTAGACAACTGGGTTCGGTGAAGTCAATGTGATGCCTCTTATTTGAAAGACCAGAAGATGAGGGTGATGAAGACGGAGTAGGCGAATGATGTGAAGCTATCTGTGAAGAGTCTAAGTGAAACTCCTAGCTGAACACACCTTTCTGAAGAAGAACTGCAAAATGGGTCGAAACTTTGGCTTTTAATAAAATAGTTTTGCCACTATTTAGCCTATTTATGACCGCCACCCCGGACCATCTCCTTCCTTTATAATGCAACGGTCAACTATTAAATATTCAATTTATTTCTTTTATTTATTTAAAATATTGCAATATGTTGCTGGTTGTTAATTGCTTGAGCAATTATTGTGTACTCATTGTTCATACACATGGCGAAAAAAGTCTGTGAATAAATTCAGTACCGGCCTAAAGACAATCGGCGCCCCCATGGTAATCACTTCATATCTCCTCTTCTAAAAAAATTTCTTTATTTCTTTATCTGTTTTATATTATGAAATATTTGAATTTTATTTTATTTCATTCAACGTTTCTCTAATACAGTTGATTTACTGACAGTCTAAAATAAATTATTTTAATACATTTTGTATTTTTTTTTTTATTTCTGGCAAGTGGCAAGCGCTCCTGAAGATCAGCTTACCCTCATCCTAATCGGCACCGCGTGGCCATTACACCAGTTGCCCATCCCTAAGGCCTGCACTGTATAAATTATATTACCCTTTGATTCTTATGACCATGTTATCTTTCAAAAAACAAACTTTGGTACATCTTTCCAACTTATCTTTAATTATCTCCATTTTTGTTGTATCCTTAGGATTGAGTCTGGGCTGCATACTATTCCGATCAAGGCAAATCCATGAATCCCACCTTATAGGTCAATATTCTTCTTCTTTAATGGCACGACAGACGCTCAAATCGGTCCTTGGCCTGCTCAAGTTTTTTGCCCCAAATAACGCTATATGCGCCATGTGGTGTGCTCATTGGTGCTTCTCTCAGGTCTATGAGGATATATATTGATGTAACAGTCAATATTATTGAAGCAATATTCTTGAACGTAATATACATATTGCAAACGTCGAATATAATTGTAACAATATATCCCTCAGATAGTCAATATATTCGATATTATTAACCATGTAAAGGCCCTTTAAGGCTACATGGATCTCTTCTGATTATATGATCATCCATCTTCTAATTAGCTCTAGGCGTAATTTCTTTAATATGAGGTCAGACATCTGAGAAGGCATATAAAGTGTAATACTACAAAACTTAAATATCCCAAATTCCTAGAGGCTTTTGATAGTACTGTGGACAAACGCACGCGTAGACCAACCTGCGTTGAAAAAAATAACATCGACCAAATATGGGAACCCTGAAAAAACATTCTTTAGCAGAAGAAGTTTCAGACAATAAAGAAAAACCTCGGATACCTAACTAGAACGATGAAGAGTGTAATAGGGGTGTCTCTCTCTTTCCCCAAAGCCAGTGGCGTATGCCCTTCTACAAAGACAATTTATTAATCTCCTATTTAAATAGCCATGCAAATTAAAGTCCTCTTGATCCCCCACAAAAATGTTGATGGCCCAAGGTGTTCGTATGCAAACCATTTTTAACACCTCTATAGTTTAAGAAAGCCATTTTCGATAAAAATTATAGTTTATGACTAGTGAAGGAGTGTATAGAAATTTAACAGGGACATAAAATGATACGACAAAAAATATCCAGAGGAGAGAGAGAGAATTTGTTAAAGAAACATGGACGTAGCGTGTGTTGTAGGTGTTCGAGTCGAAATTTTACCAGGTAGCCCCTAACATCCTTTCAAATCGGCCAGCAGCCTATTTCTCCGTATTTGTGAGTTATACTTATGGAAAATAGAAAGGTTCCCCTTTCTCTGCAGGCTGATCCAATGCGACCATAATTTTCAGCTACCCCACACCTTCCCTCCCCCGTCACTTACCAATTTCGACTATAGTACTTCAATGTTATTGGAATATAAGAATACCAATGAATTCAGGTATGATTTCCATAACAAGACCATTAACTTACAATATTTATTTAATTCAAGAGCTAGTGGCGTAAATAATTCAAACGCGACCGGTGAGACGTATTAGGGCGTAGGACAAAGCCATTTGAACCAACTAAAAAAAAAAAATTGTCTTAAGTATTATTGTAAGCGTAATTATGCTCTTATTAGTATGTTAAAAGTGAATTTGAAAAACGTTATACGTTTAAGTTGGGCTTAAGGAATAAGGATAAAATGGGTTATTTTTTTGTAAGAAGGGATAAACGCTTGCATTGGGGCACAGCGCTCCTTAGTAACGTTATCAAGGGTTAATGCCACTCCTATTCGATGTTCAGGATTTCTGGAGCATTTAACCTTATATTACTTATTTGAAACGAACCTTTCTTCCCTCAATTATTCAAATCACTCCTTTAAATAAGTTTTTTCCTTTACTAATCTTTCGCCCCTTTAGGACGTCCCATTTACCGTGGTGCACTACCACCCATGACCAGCTTATAGTAATTTTTCTAACAACAAATACAACTAATATTAGAAATATATGTTTATATAACATATTTATATGTTTATATAACATGTTATACCATCATTTAAGATGTTATATGGTAATATCCCACTACAATATATTGCAGAACATATCCCACTACGCTAAGGTGTGATGCCTGACTCAGGGCGTCCTTCGTCTCATTCTCGGTTACCATCTACAACTCGGTCGTACTCTTCTCCGCCAGTACAAAGTTCGTCTTCGAGAACTTCTTCACTACAGATGAGCCAACTTAAGTTCTTTTTTATTTATTAAATTCACAACTATATTAAATAAATGCAACTAATAAATGTAAACACATCAAGGATAATGGCATTCAGGCTTGTTGAAATATTAGCCAATGGTAACACTCCATAAATAGTTTAAAGTAAGGATATCCCGAGATCATCTTCTTTTCAGACGTCAAGGAGGATTGTCAGGGATCGATGAAGAAGCAAGGCTGGGCCTGAAGTTTATCATGAAAAGATTTGAAATATTAAAGTCTATGTATGATTTCATTTCCAACTAAATATGGAGCATTAAAAATTTTGAATAGCAAGTATTAGATAACCTGTTTGAAAACTTATCGTTTATGAAGGTCTAAGATTGTTGAGATGAAAAGGGAATATTTAGAAAATAAAATACAAATAGAAATATCACTGTTTTCAAGAGGAGAATATATTCTTTCCATTTTTATTCCTGATTCTAAAAACGACAAATTTGTAACTTTCATATTTCCAGACCCCCTTGTAAGATCCTCGATGCAACAATAACTAAAACTACATAATATTCTAAAATGTCTTAGAGAATATACTTTCCTGAATAGTGAATTGTTGGATTCGGCATCTACAGAATATTTACGATTTGCTAAGATTAACTAGACAATATGGCGGGCTATATAAGACGTATTTATGTAATAGTTCTTTTAATATGAAAAATAAAAAAAATAATCGAAAGCTTAGTGACCGAGCGTGTTGAGGAATTACCTCAGCGTTTTTGTATCACAAGAGGCATTTGTTCAAATAGCTTAATAGCAATGACTTATTTCGTATTTGGACCACAAATTAAATCTAGACCTTCTTAGTGGGGCTAGAATAGATTCGATGCCCGAAGGATGTCTCGTTCTACCTGAGTATATAAGGACGTTGAATAAAAAAAAAGATACGCATAAAATAGTTTCTTAACATTAAGGGATTTTTGATGAAATGTTGTCGATGATAGACATTTTGGGTTAACAAATAGGAACTGACAATGAAAAATTTGAAAAGTATCTCCCGAGTGACGTCAATCGACTTCAATCTACTAGCTTTCTATCTATTATGACTTATCAGCAAACTTTGTTTTTTCATACACTTTGGCTGGTGCCAATGTTTGAAATTGTATTATCATAATGGTTTCTATTTTACTTAATATTTGGATTTTTGTAGCGGTAATACTACCTTTTGTTGAATTAAAACATGACAAAGGGTATATTGCTTATTGTCCATGCATGGGTAAACTCATATTGACAAACTCTTTCTAATTTTTTCTTAAGCATAGGAATATTATAATTTAGAATTTTCTTATTTATATTTTAGGAAGATTTGGAAATCAAGCAGACCATTTTCTAGGAGCTCTGGGCTTTGCTAAAGGCATAAACAGAACATTGATTTTACCACCTTGGGTTGAATACAAGTATGGTGAGCCAAGATCGGTGCGTTTCTAATTTGTTTTATTATTATTTAAACTTGAATATTCAATTTGGTAATATGTCTATGGAAGTATTTATATTTCATAGTCGATAAAGAATGTCCTCTCTGTTATGATGACATAATGCAGTGGCCCCCTTTTGAAGATGCATATCTGTCATTTAAAATTTTTTTAAACTCAATTTTCTAACATATACTCTATTTAAACCATTTATAATAATTTAAAAAAAATTCAAATCGAACAATCTTAAATAAAATCATCAGAAACAGTCTTAGTTTGATATGAGGCCACTCAATTTATTTAGTTTTGTCCCTATTATTACATTTTATCAGTGTTTGGTAGTTACTTAAATCTTCTTCTTTTTCTTTCTCTTTATGTGCCTTTCAGCGTGGAGGAGTCTCCAATCACTTTGACCACACTTCCTCACTCTCTCACCAATTCTTCAACTGCCCTAGCTCAGTTCCTGCTTACTGACGAGTCCATTAAGGAGATGGTCCTGGGTAGTGTTAGTGTCTTCGAAGTTAGTTGCCAATTAAACTATTTTATCATAAAGCCAACATTTGACCGACTTTGCAGTGTCTTGCTTGCAAGGAGGTGTGTTCAGCTAGGAGTTTCAACTATAGAAACTGGGTTCAATTGCTTTTAATAAAATAGTTAGTAACTCTATTGTAGCTATATTTCTAGACCTCACCCATTGGGACTATCTCCTTCCTTTATAATGCAACCATCAACTATCAAATATTCAAAAGGTTTAAGGAAAACCCCAATAGTCCCTTTTCAGTTGAAGTTGAAGCTTTGTAAGAGTGTTTGGTAACTGTCTACTTTTGGAGATACTCGGCCATTTTCAGAATTTCACCAGTAGTGTGATCATGAGACTTTGTGCCCTTCCAGTATGGTGGAGCAGCTCTTGTGAAATAGTATCGGTTTCATTCATTAAAATGGCAATGGGATACTTATCATATATTCCACCCCTACCGTTAATAATTTATAGTCTATGGTACAAACCCATTTTTATCAAATTATTAACATCTGCCTGAAACTTTGTGAATAGCTTCATTTCATCATAACCTACAACTATTTTATTTATGAATACTCTTGGAATTAGGTTGTATTCAATCTGGAGGTCAGTAAACTTTGTCTATTTAATTGAGTACTAAAAACTCATGTTTTTTAAATCAAATGGGAGTGGATGGCATCCTAAACTCCTTATCTGGAGTTACTGCTCTAATAAAAGTTATTTTATTAGAGTGTTAGCAATGGGTAGTTTCTCTACATTTCTTTGATGTCATTATATTTCTCTGTTTGCAATTACTAGTTGTATTTTTATTTTAATATATGGCGGCAGTAAATCGTCTAGATTCAAGCGTGAACGAAGACGTAAAAAACATTAAAACAGCCCTCGATAAATATGGGGAGCTCAGTTTTGAGGTAAATGAAAGATTAGCGAAAATTGAAAAACACCTCGAAAGTCAAGCCAGTAAATTCGAAGAAATTATTCTGGAAAATAAAGCCCTCAAATCCCGAGTGGGCGAACTAGAAGTTCGCCTGAATAATGCAGAGCAGGGCCTGTTATCCAGATCACTGGAGATCCGAGGGATACCGGAGCGAGCTGGTGAAACGCCCGCCGGTCTGGTGACCAGTGTAGGAGCCAGCCTGGGAGTCAAGCTTAGTGCAGAAGATCTGGATGTGGTGCATCGCCGCAGAAGCAGGAAAGATGACCCGCGACCGCCGTCTGTCATCGTGCGATTTGTCAGGCAATCAGTCAGAGACGATTTAATATCGAAAAGAAAAGTTAAGAGGGATTTCTCCACGCGGGATATCGGTTGGCAGGAGAATGACTGCCACCGGATATATCTGGGAGAGGAGATGACTCACACGAACAGGCACTTATACTGGCTTGCCCGACAGAAGAAAGCAGCGGGGAAAATCAAATATTGCTGGTTTGCCGCTGGAAAGGTGCGATGTCGAAAAGAGGACGGGCATAAGGTTATCATGATCGAACAGGCCTCGGACCTCGATATATTTACCTGACTACACAGAATTCGTCTACCCTCCATCCTTATCAAAATAACTACTGACAAAATTCCCTTCGAAGAAAGATTTTCGCTTTTAGTTGTATTTCTTCACTTCCACATATTAGCCTATGTATTATTTACTATATGCTTTCTATTTTTTGTTTCTTTAAACACTTTCTTTTTTCTCATTTTCATTAATTGTAATAGCTTTTCTGTATTTTTTATTTGTTTTAGTGTTTCTCTACTGAACTCTGACTGTCTCCTTCCAAATACTTCTCATGTCTAGTACCCTAATCACCTGCCATGTTAACTCTCAATCCCTCCCCGCGCACTATGACGAATTCCTGCAATATTTCACTCAAAATTTTTACCATATTATAGCTATCTCCGAAACTTGGCTCAAACCTTATATCCCATCCTCTTCTGTCTCCCTGCCTAATTACAACCTCTTCCGTCATGACCGGGTAAGCCGGACTGGCGGTGGAGTAGCCATATATGTCCACAATAGCCTGAAGACCCGAATACTCGATTTATCCCCATCTTCCAACCACCCACAAATTGAATACCTATTAGTTGAAATCCTTTGTAATACTTCTCCTCTCCTCTACGCTGTGGTATACCGTCCTCCTCTTGTTCCATTTCACACGTCCTTTGAATCTACCCTATTGAATTTCGTTCCCCTCTATCCCAGAATAATCATCTCAGGTGACCTCAATACCAATTTCCTATTTAACTCCAATGACAAATCCTATCTAGAAGACCTATTCTTCTCCCTTCACCTCTTTATCGTTCCTTTTTCTCCCACTCACCATACTAGCAGGTCCGACACTTGGATAGATTTCTATATTATAGACTCTGCACAAAACCTCCTCTCCTCTTCACAACTGCCAGTATCCTTTTTGTCATCTCACGATCTGATACAAATAACATATAATATCCAAACTCCTCCTATTCAGCCTCGAACTATCACCTTCCGCCATCTAGATTCCCTTACACGAGAACAAATATTACCTGACCTGGAAATCCTAGATTGGAATAAAATATATTCTTGCACTTCTATCGACTCTATGGTCGATATTCTTACTACCAATCTCCTCAATATCCTCAATACCCATGCCCCTCTCAAAACCTCTACATTTCGTCACCGGCCTGCTCCTTGGATGTGTCAGGAAATTAAAGACCTGCAGAAGAGGCGCGACGCTGCTCGTAGACGCTTCAGACGTACTAGGCTTGCAGATGACTACCAAGCGTTCAGGGTGCTTCGCAACTTGACACAAACAAGGATCCGGCGTGCGAAGTCCCTCTACTTCCACGAAGCCCTTTCCTCAACTCCTGACATAAAATCTAAATGGCGACTGCTTCGTAAACTCTCCCTTTGTGATCCTTCCCGATCTCCTACTCCAGCCTTTCCAATATCCCCTGATGATCTAAACTCGCATTTTATATCTGTTGCTAATACCTCTCCTTTATCCTCCTGTTCCGACTTCCCAATAGAGATACCATTTAACGACAATAACTTTTATTTTTCCGACATTTCCCCTACAGACCTTTTAACCGCTGTAATGAAATCCCACACCAATTCCATAGGACCGGACGGCATCCCTGTCAAACTAATAAAATTATGTCTTCCTGAAATCCTCCCAGTCCTTCTTTTCATCTACAATTTCTCCCTTCAGAATTCAGTATTCCCTACATCTTGGAAACAAGCCATTGTCCTTCCTTTAAATAAAAATTCTAATCCGACCTCACCCGAAGATTTCCGCCCAATCTCAATTCTTTCCAACCTCTCGAAACCCCTAGAAAGATTGGAGCAATCCCAAGTCTCCAACTTCCTTGAAAAGTCCAACCAACTTGATCCTCTCCAATCTGGTTTCCGTCCCAGCTACTCCACACAATCCGCCTTAATTAAAATCACCAACGACATTCAAACTGCAATAGATGATAAAAAGTTAACCATCCTTATCCTTCTCGACTTCTCCAAAGCCTTCGATTCCATTAACCATTCCATCCTTTTCAACAAACTGAAATTATTATCCTTCTCCAATAGTTCCATCTCTTGGTTTCAATCTTTCCTCTCACAACGTACCCAAGCAGTCTCCATACCCAACCAACCACTATCTGCCTTCCTTTCTTTATCCTCTGGAGTTGCCCAGGGTTCAAGCATATCTCCTCTCCTTTTCAGCTCCTACATTAACGACCTACCTAAATCAATTCTCCATTGTTCCCATCACCTTTATGCAGACGATTCACAGATCTACCTATCATTTTCCCCTCCTGAGTTACTGGGGGCATTTGCCAAGATCCAAGAAGACCTAGATCGAATCAGTGCCTGGGCAAATGTAAATGGATTAAGGTTAAATGCCGCCAAAACTCAGGCCATTGTCATTGCTTCCAAGCCCCTTCTTAGATCCCATCCAGACTTTCCCATCCTTCACCTTAATGACCAGCCAATCTCCTTCTACTCCTCTGTTAAAAACTTAGGATTTTTCATTGATCAAAACCTCCTTTGGAATCACCATATTTCTCATATCTCTCGACGGACAATTTCCACCCTCAAACTATTCCATCGCTTCCGCCATCTCCTACCTCAACATACGCGTAGACTCCTAGTTTCCTCTCTCATTTTCCCCCACTTTGACTATAGCTGTGTGGTGTATGATGGCCTCTCTGTGGAGCTCCGTGATAGACTGAAAAGACTAATGAACAGCTGTGTAAGATTTGTGATCGGGGCCCCAAGATACTCCCATGTTTCTCACCACTATGCTGAGTTAAAGTGGCTTTTCCCCTCCTTCCGAAGACAATATTTCCTAGGTACGTTCCTCTACCAAATCATCAACAGTCATCGTCCTTCTTACGCCTACAATCTTCTCCAGTTCAAATCCTCAGTCCATTCCCTGTCCACAAGATCTCGACCTTCTAATCTTTACATGCCTTCTCACAGATCTGCCTCATTCCAAAATTCCTTTGTTGTTCGCTCTGTCAATTTCTGGAATTCCCTCCCTATCAAAATTCGACATTCCCCATCCATATCCAAATTCAAAATCCTCCTATTCCAATTCCTATCCCAAGAACAGTCAGATAGTTGCTAACCATTCGAGCTGATTTTAATAGAGAATTTGATACATAGAAATTCATTGATTGATTCATTGATACATTTTTATTTTTTAATTCTTTATTATTTTCTTAAAAGTGTATACTAGTGCAAATAGCTTTAAGTGCCTTGTTATAGTATTAATTGTTTTGTATATAGTTTCGTTTTTTTTTTTATATAGAATGTTTACCTTATATTTTTTTTACATTATTTATTTTTTTCGATTGATTTTATTTTGGCCAGATGTGATATTTTAATTTGTTCTATTTTGTTATTCTCAAGGGACTGTGTCCCAGAATAAAATTATTTTTCTATCTATCAAATATAGTTGGAAATTTGATAAATAAAAAAGAAGAAAAAATCTGTACCACTAACAATCCTAAAAAGAGGAAAATGAGTTAATAGTAAGGAAAATACTATTTCAGTGATACAACTCTGTTGACCATGCAGTATTTTTAATGCATTATATATTCTACCTTGTTATGTAATTGTTAATTTTCTTTAAATACTATGAATTTAATTACTATAAAATCTATAGTAGTAGTATTTAGTTAGTAAATCCTTCTTTGTATACTTGTGTTAGTGTAGCCATTATACTGATAGTCTTCAAAACTAGTAACTATTTTTTTACCATAATGCCTCATTTGATGTTTTTAGATTTCAAATTCATAATTCTAATTTTTAATTATTCTTTTGATTTTATAGATACAAGTTCCTTTCAATAAATATTTCAAGATAGATCCACTGTCAGAGTTTCATGATGTAATATTAATGGAAGATTTTATGCAGAATATTGCTCCCGAAATTTGGCCTCCTGAAAAAAGGATAGGTAAAAAAAATGTTGTCAACATTGTCGATTATAATGTCTGTGTCATAACACTAATCGTTATTATTTCAGCATTTTGCTATTCATCTCGTGGTTCAAGTGGAGGATGCAGTGCAAAAGAAGGCAACCCATTCGGACCGTTTTGGGATACTTTTAATATAAACTTCGTTGATTCTGAATTTTATGGTCCTTTACATTATGATGTTTACTACAGTGATATGCCAGAAAAATGGAATCAGAAATATCCTACTGAGAAATTTCCTGGTAAAATATTTTTAATTTATTTACATTTGAACTTATACATTAAAGGGAATCTTTATTTGTGGTAATTAAAGATTTCTTTCCATTTGTAATTTTTAAAACACTGTATTTTTACTTTCACTTACCTATATATAAAATATATAGTTAAGGAAAGTATTGTGGTCATGAAAATTTTTGAATCTCAGTTTTCAATAGAAATACTTGTTTTGACAGTCTAGCTCAAAAACAAAAAGTCGTACAAAAGTGAAATTGCATACTTAAGGTTTGTATATGCCTGGAATAGTACAGCACTATTTTTGTCAAAATCGAAAAACCGAAAGTGGTACATTATATATTCGATTTAACACATTTTTATGATTTTTTCAAAAACAGCTCTAACAAATGTTGATTAAACTAAGTATATCAGTGTATTATTTAGCAGTTCTTAATGTAATGTAGTGTTATTCTCATTGATGTTCTCTAACAGAGTTTAAATATCTAATTTTCAATATTAACTTTCTCCAAAGTATCTTTAATTTTTTTATTTGAAATAATTAATATTTGATACAAAAAATAGTTAAATATAAAATATGAAAGAATTTGATAATTAACTAAAGGAGATATAAGATATCGTAACTGATAATAGTTGTAATGGAAGATTCAAAGGAATACAAGCGCATCTGAGCTCACCTGAAAGAGTACATGCGTAACATGATCTTAATTTAATACGGACTCCAACAATATTATGTTCATATACATATGCGGTTTTCATAAATGCTATCGTTGGTATTATTTAATGTTTAATTGTATAGAACACAATGATGTAAAATTAAAATTTGTCTATATATTACTTTGACTAACAAACTAAAACTCTATAAAGTTTTATTAAAACCAATTTGGACTTATGGCATAGAACTGTGGGGTTCTGCTAAAACTTCTAATATTAAAAAAATCCAGTCTTTCCAATCCAAAATTTTACGAAGAATAGTTGACGCACCATTTTATGTCCCAAACGACAGATTACATAAAGACTTGAACATCCCAACAATTTCAGACACTGCAAAAAAAAAACTACAACTTTCACCAAAGACTAACTTACAACACAAATCCTCTGACAGAAAACCTTAAAAGCACTAGAAACCCGTACAGCCCACCTGTATATACATATATATATATATATAAGGGTATTTAAACAAATAAAAATACTCACAATGAAATTTAAATAATTATAGCGTCTATAATTTTTACTTTCACTTTCCCTTTGTCCCTGAAAATACTTATTTCTACTAAGAAGAGGTTGTAAGTAAAAGTCATGTGATGCACGCACTAGATTTTTACTTTCACTTACCTGATGTGAAATTGCATATTTAAGGTTTTTATATGCTAGGGATGTTACAGCAACTTTTTCGTCAAAATCGGCTAACTGGAAGTGGCACATTATATAATGGAGTAAACACATTTTTAAGGTTATCTCGAAAACCGCTCTAACGATTTTGATTAAATTCATCATATCAGTGTGTAAAATTAAGCTGTTTTAAATAAATTGAGTGTTGTGAGTGAGTGGTCACATAAATGGCCCTCACTACAGGTTTTATTATCTTTTTAAGTAAAAAAGTATTTTTTTCCTTTATCAGGTATATATTTTACATTCCAAATATATATATTTAATTGATATAAACTTAATGTATTTTCAATAGAAAAATATTGATAATTTTTATTATTTTTTAGCGATGTAAATGTTAACGTTTTATTTTATGTTAGCATATAAAATATATTCTCTAAGGTTACCTTGAATTTATTTTTGTTTTCCTTATTGTTAAGCTTATTTCTGAAAAGTATTTGAGTCTTCAAGAGCATGACAATTAAATTTTATGTAAATTTAAAGTTTGGGGTGTACCACACCCCAGAGTGTCGAGAATAGTTGACATATTTAAGTTTGTCGGCCTAGGGTTAAATATGTAATTTCAATGTTGTATACTATTTTGTTATTGAGCTTGACTATACATACCATTTTTCGATACTTTTATTGAAAACTCGGATTCAATCATTTTCACAGTTGTGATACTTTCCTTTTGTGTATATATATATATATATATATATATATATACACACACAATTATTATATATATATATATATATATATATATATATATATATATATATATATATATATACACACAATTATTATATATATATATATATATATATATATATAATCATATGTAGGTAAACGAGAGTGTAAATGTTACAAAACTTCCATTACATTTCTGTCCTAAAGTTAAGCATGTTTCTCCCCTCCTAAAGTTAAGTATCTCCCCTCCTAAAGATTAATTGAATGATGTAAAATTTCATTTTTCTCAGGTTTTAAAAGTACCACTTTATATGAAACAGACCTGCATTTAAAAATATATCTTCTTTGAATAGATGAAATTATTGTCTTCATTATTTTTTGTTTTTAGTTTTAGCATTCACAGGTGCTCCTGCATCATTTCCAGTTCAAAAAGAAAATACAAAATTACATAAATATTTAAAATGGAGCGAGAATATTTCACGTGAAGCGAAGGAATTCATCAAAAAATCTTTACCAAGAGGAGCCTTTATCGGGATTCATCTTCGAAATGGAATTGATTGGGTATAGTTATATTTAAATAGATCTATAGCTATTTATATTTTATTTGTGTTATTTATTGTTATGTGGAATTTAAATTCAGTTGAGTTCCATTAATCTAGACTAGATGGGTCCAGGTCACTAAAAGTCTGGATTAAACTGGATTTTGCACATGATTAATATTTAAAATGAAGTAGAGATGGTTGACCGTGATATAATATGAGAAGGAGTTAATCGGGGAGGGGGGGGGTTGCGTTCAAATAAATACTAAATTATAGAAATAGTATTATTTAATTATTATGCCGACGTTTCGACCCACCTTGCAGGTCTTCATCATTGCTACAAAAGATACACAATATAAAAGGTACATGGTGAGAATAAAATAAATGAATAATAAGTAGATATTAAATAAGAAAAAGTTGTCTAATAAAGAAATAATAAGATGATATCAGAGATATAGTGGGTGACAATGTAGTTTAAATATCAAGTATTCTACTATTTCTATAATTTAATATTTATTTGATCTCACCCACTGATCAACTCCTTCTCAGATTAATATGTAAGGTATTCCTCTGTCCTGGTATTGGTAATTATATATCTGAAAAGTTTGAGATTCCTCGTGGTTTAAAACAAGGTAATTTCCTTTCACCTGTCCTGTTTAATTTAGTATTAGAACATACCATTAGGATGTAATGCTTACTGAAAAAAGGCTTGAATCTGGATGGAACAATATCTGTTCTTGGTTATGCTGATGATTTTGTCCTGTTAAGCAAAGACACGGAAACTATAAAACTAAATACGACAAGGCTAATAAAAGCCATTAAAGAACTTGGTCTCGAAATAAATATGAATAAGACAAAATTTATAGTTAGCTGCAAAAACCAGTGATTATTTTGGTTATATCGATATAGAAGGGGATATGTTTGAACATGTAGAGAAGTTTAGATATGCTTGTTATTTTTTGTTACAAAACTACTTAGCTCGCGCCTGCTCTCCCAAAACTTAAAAATTAGAATTTATAAAAGTATTATTCTATCTACTGTTCATTATAGATGCGAAATGTGGCCGCTTTCATTAAGGGATGAGCAGCGTCTGAAAAAATAAAGTATTACATAGAATGTTCAGACCAAAGAAGGATGAGTCAACCAGATAATTTAGATGGTTACACAATTCTGAATTTTGTGAACTGTATCCGGTTAATATAATTGAAGTGATCACATAGAGGCAAATAAAATGGGCATGTAAAATTGTTGGGCTTAGTAACAAACAAATTCCTAAAGCGGACCCTACATGGTCATTCGGAATGGCATTCCGAGGCACTAATGACGTTCTGAATTATCATGTAAGGTAGGGAATGAAGTACTGATGATGGTGTGTGGCGGATTTCCAAACATCCGGAAATCAAAGGTTCATTCACGAGAAGTGGAGGGGTCACTGAGGTAAAATTAGTGGGGAGACTAACCACACTACTGGTTAGGTTATGTTGCCTAGGCCTCACAACCATTATAAATTTCTGATTTTCATTATAAGTAAATAGTTAAATAATTTTTCATATCCCTTGTTTATATTTTTAAACCATCTTCGACTATTTCTTTTAAATAGTCAAGTGGGCAACAAATTTTAAAAAAAAGTGGAAACTTCACAATTTACTTTAAGAAAAAAATTAATCTTTAACTGTTGTGTATATTTGTCAGTTCTTTTCCCATTTTCCTCAACAAATTTATTATTTTCGCAATACCTTTCCTTAATTTTTGTAATTAGAGACTTATATATTACTAACTTTTGTCAAAACGATTTTCTATGAGATTAACCTTATTACTAGATAGGTTAGTTTACCTAGGTCTCGTTTTTAAGTAAATAATTTCATAAAAGTAAATAGTTGTTTATATCCCTAGTTTATTTTTTTATTGACCATTTGAACTATTTTTTCTTTAAATAGTCAAGTAGGCAATAAATTGAAAATAAAAAATGGAAACTTCACAATTTTCTTATAGAAAAAAAAATCTTTAACTGTTATGTTTATTTGTCATTCATTTTTCCATTTTTCTTAACAAATTGATTATTTTTGCAATAATTTTCCTAAATTTTTGTATGTAGTTGACTTATATTTTTCTAACTTTGGGCTAAACGATTTTCAGGCACTAGGAAGTAATTATTATATCTCCATTTTTCTCTTGATGCCCAATATTATAAATGACAATGTTCAAATAAGCATATCTATGCTGTTTCTTTGTTTACAACTGAGCTAAATTGGTTTCAGCAATGATAAGTAATGATCAGTAATGATTGAACGTGTAAGGGTCTTCATGATCAAAGCGATTGCGGGCAATCTTGGCACTTCTTGTGACGTTCATTCATGAATTACTGTGTAGGGTCTGCTTAAGAGATCATTATGTGTTGTGCCGGCCCCTAATAGACCAATTATGCTCTCGTTTATGGGATATAAAGATAAATTATTAATCATGAACTCCTTAAAACGGCTGGGAAGAACAGGGTTTATGATAAACCAGAATTTTGGTGAAAGGACTAGGATGAGAAGAAGTAAACTCCTGTTACTTAGACAGGAAATCAGGCGTTTAATCAATCAAATTAGTGTTAGTGTTAGTGTTATTGTCTCATTATTTTAAATAAAAGATTTAATTGGTCTGAAGATGTTGGTTTGGAGCAGGGGGCGAAGACGGTATGAAGATGTGGAACAATCTGGTAGTAATTTAAAGAATAACAAGGCACCGGGCATTGATAGAATATCATATGAGTTTTACAAACATGCACCCGTTGTATTTTGGGTAAGCTTCTTTCTCTTTATAATGAAATTTATGAGGCTGGCGGATCTCAATCTTCTTTTGGCAAATCTATATTATTTCCTCTTTTTAAACGTGGCAACATCAATAATGTTCATAATTATAGGAGTTTATCATGTTTGAATGCATCTGCGAAGATTTTTACTGGTCTTCTTTTGCAACGTTTGGAAACTTTTGTCACGGAGAATGAACTTCTTAGTCAATACCAAACAGGTTTTAGATGCGAGTACTCAACAATTGACAATTTGTTTTGGTAAATTTTATAAAAATTAAACTCCTTTATAAAAGGCAAACAATCTTTGCATTTTTTGTAGATTTCAAAGCAGCGTTTGACATTATCTCTAGAAACTCTTTGATTTTGAAATTATACAATTTGGGTGTCTCAACTAAGTTCATTAATGTCCTTAAAAATATTTATTCACAATCAGAATTGCTGGTTCGTGGTGCAGAGAGAATTTCTGAATTTTTTCCTGTGAATAATGGTGTACGTCAGGGATGTTTACTCAGTCCACTCCTCTCTTCTTTGTATTTAGATGATCTTCCTCTTATGCTTGAAGGCGGAGTTCGTATAGGTGGTACCTGTATCAGTGTTTTAATCCAAACTGATGACATTGTGCTGCTGCCTGAAGTTAGGGGCAGACTGTATATTCCTTTTGGCAGCCTATAGTGATGATTGGAATTTGACAATGAATTTTTCTAAATAAAAAATTATGGTTTTAGGAAAGGTGGAAGACTGGCTACTGTAGATAAATGGCGATTTAAAGGTTTACCAATAGAAGTAGTCAATAGTTATAAATATTTGGGTGTCATGCTTAGCTTCAGTCTTTCATTTACTTATCATTTGAAAGATTATATATCGCCTGCTAAAATGGACCTTAATAGGAATTAGTCAAGTTTCATTGCTCAAGATCTGATCCTTCTATCTACCAAAAAAAAAATATTTGATGGGATATTACGTTCCATAGTATGCTATGCGGTTCAAGTCTGGGGTTTTAGGGTATGACATATTGGAAAAGTTTCAGAGATTTTTCATTAAGAAGTTGTTGCCTCCAACGACACCAAATAAAATCCTTGAGGTGAATACAAATTTGAGGTATTCACTCTACAGTTGCATTTTAAGTATTGCCTTAAGTTACTATGTCTGCCTAAAAATCTTCTCTCCAGAGTTATCGCTATTGAAGTGATTAAACGTAATACCTTTTCGTTTAAAATTTGGTGGAAAGATACTCTTGCAGGTTCGACAGGTCTTTGGAATGCTTTTCGTTATGGAAAGACCAGTTGTCATCAATACGGTCTGCAATCACTCAGCAACATTGGGAGCAGTGTAAATTAGCTGCATTGAATTCTGACCGATTTCTCTTTTATAGGGAATTGAGTCATGATCTTAAAATTTTGAAATTTGTGGATGGCTGCTGTTGGGATTTGACTGGGCGCGAGTTGAGATGGTTGTTCAAGGTCAGGTGTGAGCTCCTTTATTTGAATTACATCCCATGGCTTGACAGGGAAAATACGGATTGTCCACTCTGTAACCTACCAGTAAAGGAGGACCTGTTCTATTTTTTGGCTGTGTTTAATGCTTGGTCAAATTTGTATCGAATTTTTTAGAACTAGCCCGGTTCGAAATGATATCCTAATTCCCCTTCTAAATGCACCCTCTGTGAACGAATATCGTAAAATTGTCTGTTTTGCTAGACATGCGTGGATACATCGTTTTAATTTGCTACATCCAGCATAAACAATGATCCGTCCAATTTATTTGTAGTCGGTTTTATTCATGTTATTGTTTATGATTTCCATTATTTTAATTTGTTATTATTTCTTAGATATAAATTATCCAAAATATTTATTATTTTATATTGTATTAGTTGTTTTATTATTTATCAATTATTCATGTATATGTAATTGTTATAAAGTCTTTATTTGTAGTGTACCTGTAAAACATATAAAATTTCCGGCACACGAATAATCACGCCTTATAAAAATGTTCTGTGTATTTTGGAAATTTATAATTTATGCATATTTAATAAAGCATTTCTCATTCAAATATGTGTTGTGCCAACTGGTAAACATTCAAGGGGTAGACCTAAGCAAAGATGGGAGGATTGCGTTAAGGCTGATCTGGCGGGGCTGGATTTGGACGAGGTGTGTAAACAGGGATTGTTAGTGTCAGTATAGAACCTTCGGGTTCGCTAAGCCTTTTATTATTATTATTCTCCCATCTCT